CGCGCGCCAGGGAGGGACTTGTAGAGCTTCCCTGGTAGCGTAGCTACAGAAGCTAGAGCAATTCTGGAGCAGCGGCGGGCTGGTTGGCTCGGAAATTCTCGACGGAATGTGTGATGGCCTGTGATTTGTTGAAAAATACGTTGGGAGATGTTTGACAGGCCGTTTCGGGTGGGACAAATTGTCTGGCCATCTCAAATCGCACTCCTGCACGCCATCTTAATATCAGCTCGACCCTATCGCTTTGAAGGGGGACAAGCATGCTGCAGTAATTGGCCCTTGGGCATATTTTTGTTGCGCGCGTTCGGTTGACGGACTTGCTTTCGAAATCTAGAGTTGCTACAGAGCTCTCGTTTCTAGCGTCCAGCAGCCTCGAAAGCAGTAGCCTATAGCCTCGAGAGACCCGATATCGGTCTACTATTCGTTTGATCTTCAAAAACGAGTTTCAATATGCAACCGCTTTTGCTCTGAACGCGGGTACGGCCAGTAGTTTCGCTCTCGTACTCACAGAGACATGAGCTCGGTCTGCTTCCCGGGTTGTGATCGGACAACTAATATTACTCTGCAGCGGTTCTGCTGCTTTACGCGGTTATTTATTATTGCGAATCAGAGCAGGTACAAGGCTATCGATTGCGGCAATCGGTTCAGCAGCATCGAAAGCACTAGTCTACAGCCTCGAGGTACCTCATATTGCTCTACTCTTTGATTTACCTTGAACAACTTGCATCAATCTGCAACCGCTTTTGCCTAATCGAATGGCTTTTTGATTAAATTTCGAGGTTTGGAGTGCGCTCGGATCTCTGCCTGCGCGTGACCGCGGGTACGACTAGTAGCTTCACTCTCCCACTCCCAGAGACCTGAGCTCGGTCTGCTACTCGAGGGGGCCAAGCGCCGATCCAAGAGATCCGCGCGGACCTCCGAGAAATTGTGGTTATGCATGTTGTTGATTCTTTCATTTGTCAACCATCGTGTGGTGTTGGGTTCTCGTTGTGAAAAGACAGCACCCCACGTCCCGCCTCCTCCCCCCGCTTCCTTCTCCCGCTTCCAATCCCTGCGCAATTTTGTGTCAGGTCCTCGCTCTGGAGAGACAGCGCCCCGCGTCAATCCTTCCTCCTTCCGCTCCTTCCTCCTGACATCCTTGCCTTTGCCCTCCGCACGACCTCATCGTCGTTGCAATCACAATCATCCTCGCCGTCGTCATCAGCACCCACTTCGGCACACTCCACACATTCTTCTTGGCCCCATAGGAAGCTTTACGGAAGGCCCCAGTGGCAGCGCCCGCATGCGTTCCCCTGCCCATGTTGGCAAACCTCTCGCACGTTTCGCGGCGCCAGGCGGAGCTCAATTGAAGGCGATATCCACAAGGGCGGCACTCACAACCGCATATGATTGGATCGTTCGCTAGGATAGGTTTGGGTGGAGAACCCGAGATTTCCTCTCTGCCACGCGGACCAGCTTACAAGGTGTCTGACGATCGAAAAGCATGCTCCACGCACAAGCGGGAATGCAGCTATCAGGGACAATTTAGGTGGCGGTTTGGCGATCTTTGCATTCCGCTCTCGGGCGCCCTCGCTCCCCCCCCCCCCCCCATTTATGACGTAACGCTCCCCCCCCCACTTATGACGTAACGCTCCCCCCCCAGTGCGCTTCGGGCACTGCCGCCGTGCGCATTGGGATCCGCGTAGGTGTCCGCCTAGAAACCCGCATAGAAGTCTGGTCCGCAGTCGTCGTCGTCGTCGTCGTCGTCGTCGTCGTCGTCGTCGTCGTCGTCGTTCGTGGCTTGTGGCTCGTCGTCGCCGTCGTCGTCGCTCGTGGTTCGTCGCTCGTCGCTCATCGTCGTCGTGCGCGCGGACGCGGCTGGAGCCTGTTTTTATTCCGGGCCGATGACGGCAGTCATCAGGGGGGGAGTGGGTCGATGACGTCACGTTTCGCGCTGGCGGCGTCTGGGAATGCTCAGGCATAACGGAGGGCGGGTCGCATCAGCATGTAGGTGGCGATCTGCACCACAACGTCTGTGTACACCACAGTGCTTGCGTGCACCACAGTGCCTGCGTGCACCACAGCCGTTGTGTACACCACACCGCCTTGTGCACCACAGCAGCCGCGTGCAACACAGCGTCAGTTTGTGGCACCGTGCCTGCGGGCACAACGGCTCATGCGTACACCACACCGCCTGCGTACACCACATCAGCCGTGTACAACACAACACCAGTGTATACCACAATGCCTGCGCGCATTGCAGTGCCCGTGTGCACCACGGCGCCTGTGTGCACCACAGCGACCGTGTGCAATACAGTTTCACTGTTGTATATAGAATGCCAGAAGGACTCCTTACGACAAAAGGGAGCGTTCGTGGATTTGCTTCCACAGGAAACAGTGGAACGGAATCCTCATGGACAAGGGACAAAATGGCGCCGGGAAGCAGTGGATTGGATTGCGGAAAATTGCGTATGGAAAATTGCGCTTGTGGGTTGGATTCCACAGGAAACAGTAGAACGGCAAAATGGCGCCGTTGGAATCTACGAGTCCTCCCGAGTCCTAACTCCTCCCATCTGCGTCCAGGACGTTCCGGCTAAATTGGCCGTCCGAGAACCAAGTGGACCGATTCAATTGACCATTTTGCGGTGCACGCTGAGATGCGCACGTGCGCTGTAGCGCCAACCCGCACGTCAGGAGGTAAAGAGGAGGAGGGCGACAAAGAGGCGGAGGAGGTGGAGGTGGAGTGGGAGGGAGGAGGGAAAAACGTCGCATTCGATTCTCAACGCTGTCCTGGCGTGGCGTTTAGTTGTTCAATGCAGAGCCTCACCTATATGTTCCTTCTTCTTGTCCTATGCACGCAGGCATTGTGGTGCACACCAGAGCTGCATTGCACGCGGATGTTGTGGTGTAGACAGGCGCTGTGGCGTGCGCGGGCGCCGCGGTGCACGCAAGCACTGTGGTGTGCACAGGCGTTATGTTGCACATCGTTGTTGCGGCGTACACATGTACACCGTCGCTTTAATGTACGCAAACACTGTGGTGTACACAGGCTCTGCGCTGCACGCGGTTGTTGCGGTGTCCGCAGCCATTTTGGATCAATCCATTTTGGCTCAAGCCATTCTGGCTCAAACCATTTTGGCTCTGCGATCGCACGGCCGCGCCTCCCCTCCTTCGCCTCCTCCGGGGGGCCTTCATGATGGCGGCGGCGCGGCGTAGAGGGGCCCACACGGCTGCGGAGGATGGCGCCGCCCTGGTTGCGGCGGCCGTGCGCGCAGCCGTGGAGGCCAAGGCGCCGCGGCGCACGGTCTCGGCGGTGGCGGGTGCGGTGGCAACGGTCGCGTTACGTGCGCGAGCCGCGCCGCCCGCGCCGCCGCCCGCTGCTGGGGCCAGAGGTGCTGACGCGGGCCGCTGCGGCGGCGCGGGTGACAGCGGGGCGGTGATGCGGAAGGCGACGGCGGCGCAGCGTGAGCGGCGTCGTCGCCGCCGCGCGCGCCTCGTTGGTCGACGCGCACTTCTCCGTGGTGAAGCGGCGGCCGAGGCTGCCAGGGGGGCGGGGGACGCGGGCCGTGGGCCCGCCGCCCAGCTGGCCGCGGGCGCGGCCGACGGCGGCGGCGGAGGCGGCAGCCGCGGTGCCGCTCCTCCTGCGGCCGCCGCAGGGCTGCCGTTGGAGAGGGTCGAGGTGCCTTCGGCAGCGACCACAACGGCTACGACTTCGACGAGGAGATGGACGATTCGTTCGCCGACGACCTGGTGGGCGGCGCGGTGGAGCCTGGTGCTGCTGCCCCTCGGGCGCCTGCAGCTGGCGGGGCTGCGCCGCGCGGCGGCGGCGGCGAGGCCCGCCTTCGCCAGCGCGCGCTGGCGGCGGGCCTCGACGGGTTCGTTGAAATGCTTGGCCTCTGCTCGCAGGCCCAGATGCAGGACGCGCTGCGGAGGAAGGGCATCGCTTTGCCCCGCAGGCGTGGGCCTGCCGCCCTGCGACGCCTCCTCCTGATGGGCGCGGTGCAAAAGGAACTGCATGCCTCGACTGCGACGGCGGCGGGTTCAGACTCTCGGGACTCTTGAGCCGCGCCGCCTGTCTTGGAGGGAGGGGCTGCGGTGGTCTTCCCCCGCTCGGGGGAGGCACGGCCTGGTGGGTGGCGCGAGCTGCGCCGCCCCAGGTTACGCCCCACAACCACCCCGGGGAGTGGCTTCGGTGGCCTGCCCTTGTGTTGGGGGCGGCCCGGCCGGGCGGATGGTGCTTGGCGCCGTCCCAGGTGACGTCACATACCTGGAAGCTGCCGCGGCCCTCGTGCCAGAGACGTGTCGCGTGCAGAGCGCTGCGCCCACTGCTGTGCGGCGCCCGCTCCCGCCGCTCCGCCTTCGGCCGCGGGCACTTCGCGCGCTGTGCGCGCGCAGGGTGCGTCGGTCACCGCCGTCATCTCGGGGTTTTGCCCCCCAAAAAAATAGGTTGTTGCGGTGTACGCAGGCGTTGTGGTGTACGCGCGCGCTGTGGTGCACGCGAGCGTTGTGGTGTACACAGGCGCAGTGGGCAGATCGCCACCTGCATGCTGCTCGCATCGTCGTCGTCGTTGCTCGTCGCTCGTCGCGCGTCACGTCGTGCGCGCGGGCGCGGCTGTGGTGCCGGAAACGCGGTGGGGGGGGGGGCGTTGCGCCATGCCCTTCCCGCCCCCTCCCCCCCATGGCGCCCGCCATCGCCGATATATATATATATATATATATATATATATATCTAAATAAAAGAGTTCGAGGAGTTCTGATAGCAATTATACGCGAGGAGGAGGAGCAGGAAGAGGAGGAGGAGGAAGAGGAGGAGGAGGAGGACGAGGAGGACGAGGAGGACGAGGAGGACGAGAAGGCGGCAGGGCGCGACGGCCCACGAAAGCCAGCATCTGCCCAACGCGAAAGGGAGGAGGAGGAGGAGGAGGAGGAAGAGGGATACGACAGGAAGACGAGGCGGGCGAGCAGCACGAACAGCAGGAGCAGCCGCCGACTCCCAGGCGGCGAGCCCCCCCCCTCCTCCCGAGGACTCCAGGGACGACGAGGGCGGGGAGCCAGCGGCCCCCGCGGCCGGAAGCGGAGACCAGGACGCCCTGCCCGCCTTTCCGCCGCACGCTGGCCCACTCCCGCGGCCGCGCGGGGGCGCGGCGGGGCATCCCAGACCCTTCGGGTTGTGACAAAAATCATCACGGGGTGGGGGGTGGGGGTGGCTTTTTAAGATTATGCGACGTGCGCTGTTTTCTTGCGCCGCGGCTGTTTTCCCTCTTATTGTTATTGTTTGCCCCTTTTCTTGTTCTCATCATGTTACTGGGTGTTCGTTTTCTCTCTCTCTCTCTCTCTCTCTCTTTGTACCCCTCTTTGTCCCTCTCTCTGTCTCTTTATTTTTCTCTCTTTCTCGGTATCTCTCACGCCGGGTTCAATAAGAACCCCCATACGTCGGACATCAGCACGTTCGTCAACATCTGCTCCAGCGTCGACGCCGCCATCTATACCATCATCTACAGCATCATCATCATCATCCTCATCATCATCATCATCATCATCATCATCATCATCATCATAGGTTGTGGGGCGTTATGTTGTTATTCCTGTTGTACCCATTGCTATTGTATCATTGTTCTTGCTTCTTACTGCAGGGATGGCAATGAGGAAGGATAGTGAGTGATGTCGCAGGCTGAGGACCAGCCATTTTTGAGGATGTGGAAGAGCGGGGGGGAGGAACATCATTCGCTCTCTCTCTCTTTCTCTCTCTCTCTCTCTCTCTTTCTTTCTCTCTCTCTCTCTCTCTCTTTCTCTCTCACACTCTCTCTCTCTCTCTCCCTTTTTGTTTCTCTCTCTCTCTCTTTCTCTTTCTCTCTCTCTCTCTCTCTCCCCATCCACATGCGACGCGAGCCGCGGCGGTCCGAGATTGAGCAAAGGAAAGAATGGAGTCTGAGGCCATTGAATGAATGGATGGATGGGTGAATGAATGAATGGATGGCTGGATGAATGAACAAATGAATGAATGCATGAATGAATTAATGAATGAATGAGTGAGTGAGTGAATGAATGAATGATGATTGAATGAATGTTTTTTTTGGCAGGTCTGGATGTAGCGCTGATCTGACCTCGTCTACCCGTTCGCGGTTTGGACGCGCGTCGCGCCAAGCGCCCAAGCCGCAGGCGGCGCCCCAGGATTGGAACGCGCTCGAAAGGATCACCTCTTCTCGGCCCGCCCACGGGTTGGACTCAGCACCTCAGAGAGAACGCGGACCACCCGTGGTTTATCCGCCAATGGATTGGACACGCCTCGCGCCAAGCGCCCAACCCGTGGGTGGCGCCCCAGGGGTGGAGCGCGCTCGAAACGATCACCTCTTATCGGCCCGCCCATGGGTTGGACTCAATACCCCAGAGAGACAGCTGACCCTCCATTTCCTATCCGCGCATGGGTTGGACACGCGTCGCGCCGGGCGCCCAACCCGCGGGGGGCGCCCCAGGAATGGAACGCGCTCGAAGCGATCACCTCTTGTCAGCTCGCTCATGGGTTGGATTCAACACCTCACAGAGAAAGCTGGTCATCCTTTGCCCTATCCGCCCATGGGTTGGATGCGCGTCGCGACAAGCGCCCAACCCGTGGGCGGCGCCCCAGGGGCGGAAAACGCTCGAAACGATCGCCTCTTCTCGGCCCGCCCATGGGTTGGAATCAACATCTCGGAACACCCTGATCGCCCATATCCTATCCGCCCATGGGTTGGGCGCGCGTCGCGACAGGCGCCCAACCCGTGGGCGGGCAATGCGATTCCAATTCAATGAGATTGTATGCAACGCAATGCGATTGCAACGCAATGCGATTGCAACGCAATGCGATTGCAATGCCTTTCGATGGGACGTGGGAGGGAAGGAGGAGGGAGGGAGGTAGGAGGAAGAAGGAGGGCGGATGGGGAGGAACGATGGAGCGGAGGGATGGGGAAGGGGGATGGTTGGAGGGGGGATGGGGGAGGCAGCGTTGCAATCAAATTGCATTTTAATCGCATTGACTTGCATTGCAGTCGCATTGCATTGGGATCGCATTGCATCGCATTGCAATTGCATTCCGTTCCCCTCTCCCTCCTCCTCCCTCCTCCCTCCTCCTCACTGCCTCCATCCTCCTCCATGCCTCCTTTCACTCCCAGCTCCCTCTTCAGAAAGACAGAGAGAGAGAGAGAAAAAGAGAGAAAGAGAGAGAGAGAAAGAGAGAGAGAGAGAGAAGAGAGAGGAGGTGGAATACCTCTCCGTCGCGCAAGGAATTTTGTTTTTTGTTTGTAAAGTCACATGGACTATTGGTTTCCAATCTGATTTTATGGGTTCTCCAATGACAGGCACAGATTTCCCTGTCTCAGGACCACGAAACCTGTGACACCACCAAAAAACAACAAATATGCGAACGGAGTTCCCCACATAGAGATGTTGACGGTTTCGTGGGACCCATGGGGTACGACAACACCAACACGAAGGAGAAGCTCATCGAACGAGTAAGTACGCACGAAAGGGCAGACGAAAGAAAGGAGGAGGGAGGACAGGCGCTCAGGAAACGAAGCCTTGTAAATAGTACGGTTTCTTGATACCCTCCTCGCTCCGGCGGGGCCCCGCCGGAAAGGGGGAGGGCTACGGAACCTGGTAAAGAGTAATGCTTTCCGCGACCCTCCTCGTTCAAGCGCGGCCTCTCTGGAGGAGTGGAGGAGGGACACGAAACCGTGTAAACTGCACTGTTGTCCGATACCCTCCTGGAGGAGGGGGAGGAGGAGGAGGAGGAGGAGGAGGAGGAGGAGGAGGAGGAGGAGGAGGAGGAGGAGGAGGAGCAGGAGGAGGAGGAGGAGGAGGAGGAGGAGGAGGAGGGAGGAGGAGGGGGAGGGGGGAACGAAACCATGGAAATAATATGGGTTTGCGATACCGTCCTCGCTCAGGCGGGGCCTCCCTGGAGGGGCGGGAGGAGCACGAAACCATGTAAATAGTATTGGTTTCCGATACCCTCCTCGTTCAGACGGGGCCTCCCTGGAGAGGTGGGAATGGGCACGAAACGATGTAAATAGTACGGGTTTCCGATACCCTTCTCGCTCAGGCGGGGCCTCCTTGGAGTGGAGGGAGGGGCACGAAACCATGTAAATAGTATGGGTTTCCGATACCCTCCTCGCTCAGATGGGGCTTCTCTGGAGGGGAGGGAGGGGCACGAAACCATGTAAATAGTATGGGTTTCCGATACCCTCCTCGCTCAGGCGGGGCCTCCCTGGAGGGGCGGGAGAAGCACGAAACTATGTAAATAGTATTGGTTTCCGATACCCTCCTCGCTCAGGCGGGGCCTCCCCGGAGGGGAGGGAGGGGCACGGAACCATGTAAATAATATAGGATACCCTCCTCGCTCGGGCGAGGCCTCCTTGGAGGGGTGGGTAGAGCACGAAACCATGTAAATTGTATGGGTTTCCGATACCCTCTCCGCTCAGGCGGGGCCTCCCTGGAGGGGTGGCAGGGGCACGAAACCATGTAAATAGTATTGGTTTCCGATAGCCTCCTCGCTCAGGCGGGGTCTCCCTGGAGGGGTGGGAGGGGCACGAAACCGTGTAAATAGTATTGGTTTCCGATACCCTCTTCGCTCAGGCGGGGCCTCCCTGGAGGAGTGGCAGGGGTACGAAAGCATGTAAATAGTTTTGGTTTGCGATACCCTCCTCGCTCAGACGGGGCCTCCCTGGAGGGGTGGCAGGGGCACGAAACCATGTAAATAGTATGGGTTTGCGATACCCTCCTCGCTCAGGCGGGGCCTGCCTGGAGGGGTGGGAAGAACACGAAACCATGTAAATTGTATGGGTTTGCGATACCCTCCTCGCTCAGGCGGGGCCTGCCTGGAGGGGTGGGAGGGGCACGAAACCATATAAATAGTATGGGTTTCTGATACCCCCCTCGCTCAGGCGGGGCCTCCTTGGAGGGGTGGGAGGGGCACGAAACCATGTAAATAGTATTGGTTTCCGAGACCCTCCTCGCTCAGGCGGGGCCTCCCTGGAGGGGTGGCAGGGGCACGAAACCATGTAAATAGTATTGGTTTCCGATACCCTCCTCGCTCAGGCGGGGCCTCCCTGGAGGGGTGGGAGGAGCAGGAAACCATGTAAATAGTATGGGTTTCCGATACCCTCCTCGCTCAGGCGGGGCCTCCCTGGAGGGGTGGCAGGGGCACGCAACCAAGGAAATAGTATGGTAGGCATGGTATGATATGGGAGGCTGGAGCGGTAGGCGTGGTATTGATATGGGAGGCGGGAGGCGGGAGGGAAAAGGAGAGGATGTTCTGGGAAAACAAGAACCCCACTCAGGATGTGGGGGGGGAAAAATTGTGACAGTTCCAAAAAAACAAACAAACATCACAGGTTTTCGGACCTCGCACTCGTGGCGGGCCCTCCCGGGGTCCGGAGCCGCGGTGGGCGGGGGCCGAAAACCTTTGATTTTATTTGTTTTCCAATGACAGTCACAGGCCTTCCGGCCACGAAACCTGTGGCACTACCAACAAAAACAAAGAAAAAACAACAAAAGCAAAAACAAATATGACACAACCGAAAAGAAATCAAAAGGTTTTCGGACCTCGCACTCGTCGCGGGCGCTCCTGGGGCCCGGAGCCGGGGTGGGTGGGGGCCGAAAACCTTTGATTACTGTTTTTTGGGGTAGTGCCGCATTTTTTGTTGTTTTTTGGTTTTGGCTTTTTTGGTAGTGTCACAGGTTTCGTGGCCCTAAGATAAGGAAGCTTGTGATTGTCATTGGAAAACAAAGCAATCAAAGGTTTTCGGCCCCCGCCCACCGCGGCTCCGGACCCCAGGAGGGCCCGCCATGAGTGCGAGGTCCGAAAACCTGTGTTTTTTTTGTACTGTCACAACTGTTTTGGGTATTGTTGTTTTTTTGTTTTGTTCACAACCCTCCTGCCTTGGGTACTCGTTTTGAATAGAGCACTGTGGTCTCCACCTTCCTCCTTCTCCTCCCGCCCCCTCTCCTCCTCTCTTCGTTCCTGCTCTCCTCTCTTGCTTCCCTTCTCCTCCTCTCGTTGCTCGTCCTCTTCTCGCTTGCCTTTTACCTAGCCTGCCCCTCGCCATCCCTG